AACCCCAAAACCCCAAAACCCCTGAAGTTAATATTTGAAATAAATGTTATGAAATTAAGATTATTCTCTATAATATTTAATCAAGTTTCAATCAATTTTGTTAATGTCTTAAATAATCAAGTTTTTAGCATTTTGAAAATTCTTGAGTTTTGCTTCATTTCCTTGAAAATATTGTTTGGTACCAAATTTAAGATGCCTCTACTTCTCCACGTAGTTTCATTAAGCTGATTTATTATCTTTGGAGTGATAATTAATTGGGAAAAGAAAAATAGAACTAAGAATATTATGAAAACTGCCTGGACAATATCATGAACACTCTGCTCTATTCTTGCAAGATTGGATTTCCATAATTAATCTAGTGAATCTAGCATGCAATTAAAATAGGATTCTGAAGCGACTAAGAATGATTATATTTCCTAAGTGTTTAATATATCCATGCTCATATTTTTGAGTGAAGAAGTTTTAGTGATGTTAAACTATGTATAGTAGTTCATAAAAGTGAATAGAGATGACTTATATCCTTAGAGAAGTACTCCATTTCTGTATTCTTTACAGTTGGTGATATTGTATTGAAGATTTAAACTATCACAAAATTCCTTTGAATCCATTTTTGCAATAAAGCTGTATAAGAAATCAATAAATGGAGAATGCTCATTTTAGAATTTATTTAGGTTATTTTCGTTTTCATAAAATCTCGACAACGACAACTATTCTATATTATTGATATAAGATGAGCCAGTTATCAGTCTTTCCCTAAAATAACCAAACAGTTAATCCACTTCAGCTTATCTAGAGTAAGAAACCTTTATATGTCTAGATGATTCTTATACTTAACTAGTAATTTCTTAAAGATAAAGTATCTCAAATAAAAAGAAACCTAAAAGCAATAGTGTCTGTACAGCAACAAATATAACTTGCTTCCAATTTCTACTTTTTATTTTAGAGAATTACTCGTGTTTACCTATGCGTGAAGTATCTTCCTCAGGTTCCTAATTCAGATTTTCTTTGGTCTTTTTTGTTCTATTATCAGTATTATTTCTTGCTTCTTCATCACTTTCATGAGATTTTTCAGATTTCTCTAGAATATCTTCACCTTCTTCTAGATTCTTTATTGATTTCTTTTTCTACTACATTTGTTTATTAGCTATTATATTTCTAAGATTGGCTTATCCAATGATACTATGAAGCTTTGAATTTCTTTTATTAAGATTTTTGTGATGCTACATTAATATTTGGTTTTTATTCATATTTGATTCCTCATCTTCCCTTTTTTCTTCCTCAATCTCCTAGGGTGATTTATACAATTCTACTATAGCTTTTGAACTTGCATTAATATTTAGTTAAATTGAATCTTCATTCTTATTATGACGATTTAAGGTGCTTTAGATTTGATCAATCATAGTCTAAGTATCTTTTCTGTGTACCACACTTTTTTTAGCACTGTTAGCCTGCTCATCATTTAGTTTTTTCTTAAGTTTCTCTATACTCTGCTTCTGATTGTTTACTCTAAACATGTTAAGTCTTTCAACAAAGCGATTCCACTGAACATCAAGATCTTCTGATTCTCTGTTAGGATTGGCAAAAACATCACTCATTACATCAGTTCCAAACATAGCAGATTGTATAGCTATGTTATCTTCTTTTATATTTTAAAGGTAATTTTAGAATCTTTTACACTTTAGTAAACTTTCTCTTGCATCTTATATTTTAATCTCAGAGTAAAGACTTAATACTCTAACTTTATTATTTTCTACTATTTGAATGACAGTTATCATTAAACCTTAAGCAATTATCAAAATAACGATAGAAATCAATGATAGCCATAAAACTGAATTAAAGCTTTTACTTTCAAATGTAGCTAATAAAACCAAGAAATTACTCATTTATTGATAGAGTACTTTATTTATAGATCTATAGCCAGAACTGACTACAAAATAGCCACTTACGAATACATTGAGATTGTCAAATGATTTATTGTTGACAACTATCCAGTCTATCACAGGCATTTTTAAAGTTGATTTATTTCTATTTAATAGTTCTAGCGATCTGACAATGTACTAATTCAAAGCATGATCAAAATTCATACTATAGTTATAAATTTTACCCCTACCATTGATTTCATAAATATCAATGTCAGTCATTAATTACTATTCCGATGATAATTATGTAGTCAACAACCTAATCTTCTCTATTAAGTCATTATTGAGTATATTAAGATGCTATAGTCTATTAGTAAATGGGGGATTTGTGATATTTTGGTATCCATACTCAACATTATTAGGAATATTAAGCATAGATCTCAAATTATTCTATGCTTAAATGAAATTATTGTAGAGTTGAACAACTTTTAATGTTTGATTTACTTGAGTAAATAAATCCTTATTAGATTCTATATGAAAAATGAAGGTAAGAGTTGCTAGTGTAGTTATCAAAAATAGCAATGCCTACATTATTTTTCGAATGTATAGAACAATCCTAGGCTCAATATTATCAGTCATTTACTTTTTGAAATCTTTTAACTACCTATCCATACTCATCATAGTTGAAGTTGTTGAAGAAGCAACTGAAGCAGATGCAATATTGAATGAAGAAGCATTATGCATTTCATCATCAGAATCTCTAGTTAGACTTATAGTGATTTACTTTTGGCTGAATTAGAACTTGGTGAAGAGGATGATTCTATAAAGCTTAATAGATACCAATTTCTGGAAGTTCATCTCAATCATTTAGCAAAATACCTTAATTTCTTATTATTTTTCCATAAAATAATTGAATTCTTCATTGCTTAAAACTTCTCTGTCCACTTTTTCAAAGAGTCTGTCAGTATTTATTGAGATAATTCCTCCTGTAGTCTATAAATCTTGTGATTTATCTTAAAACTCAGATGAAAGATACTCAATATTTATTTCTTGATCAAACAAACTGTTGCCATTAGTTGATATAAACATTTTAGGAAAAAGTCCAAAGTTTGTAGTCATTCCATAAGTGAAGTTTTAAATATTATTTTCCTGGTCACAGATTATATACTCATGAGGTATTTTTGAAAAATCACTGGGACACTCAGGTTCAAAAGTCAAAAACTAAATCCTCTTTATTACTCCAATCAACTTAAGTCCGCATGTTAGAGTAGGTAACACCTTACTAAATAAATAAATAGGAACCAGATAGCCCTCTTTGTCTTTGGCGAAAAGCTCTCTAACTTTATTTAGTACACTCGATTCAGCTTTTTCAAAGAATTTTAAGAGCAAGTTTTCATGTACTCGAGCAATCATTCTTGGAATAATAGTATTTATATCTTTCCCAATTAATTCATTTGGCGTATAGCCAAGAAGATTTTGTATTTCTTCATTGACATATTCTATAAGGCCCAATGTCCTACCCTCTGTTTTTAGGACGAAAATACTGCAAAATGAGTTCTCACCAAATAGCAGATCCTCATTGTCATTATTATTAAGCATTTTAAGCTTTTATCTTAGATTTATTCTCTATTGGAGCGCCATTTAGAAATAGTCTACTGCATTAAATTCATTGTTGATCACATCATTTAAGTATTTAGAGTAGTTAAGAATCATAACTAATTAGTTTGGGTATATCTGGAGTAGTTTGTTTGCAGTAAGAGTTATGCTTTGGTGATTTTTACTAATTTAAATTCCTAACTCATGCATTCTTACTACATTAATGTCTTTTTCAAGTAATTCAGTCCAAAATTTCATGCAATTTGAGGTATTTTTCTATATCAGTTTTTAGAATAAGGAAAAGTTCTTCTCATATTCATACACTGAAAGTATATTCAGCCTCCTGCTTAGCTAAGATGATTTTTCATGCTTTGAATATATTACTTTCTCAATTCTTTTTTTATGTCTATAAATGAGAAATTTCTGATGAAGATCTGGCTTCCTCTCCTGTGCCTGGATAAGCTCAAATAATGACTAGAATTCATTTCTTATTTTGAGAAAGTAAAAGGCTGATAGAGTATAATGGAATTCTACATTTTACTTAAAATTCTTCAATTAAGTTCTTAATTGATACCTCAAGAACTCATACCAGACATTCGGAGTGAATGTTCTCTTAATATCTAAATCTTGAGACTATTCATCATCATGGTGAGATCCTGATTTAGTCTTATTTTTAATGTCTGTTGCCTTCCTAAGCTGGAATAAATCCATGAAATAGTTCTCTGCCTTCATTTTTTCTCTGATGTTTTTTATATTCCTATCTAGTTACTAATAGTTCATATTTTCGTTCACTTACTTACTTTCGTTCATATGCTAAGAAAAAGATTTAATTTTAATCCTATTGAAAACTGACTTGCTAAAGGAATCTTCATACTTGTAAATATAGCAAGGACATTCTTTATCTAAGCATTATTAAAAGTGCAACTGTAACATGCCTTATAGTATCAGATTGGGTTTTTTTTCATCTTACTAAATAAGTTTGTACATTTATGATAGGTATATCTCTAAATCTTCTGAGTTTTTAATGGATTTAAAACCTTTCAAGAGTATTTTATCGATTCTAAATTATAGAAGTTTTACTACTATCATGGCTAGAAACAGTACCAAAAGTATCTCAATCATCAAACTAAAAGAGTTTAATTAAACATCAAAGAAGTAGTGACAGATTTTGCTTAAAGAAAACCAAGTTCTTCCAGTCTCATAAAAAATAATAGCTTTCATCACTAATTGAGAGGCAAATGTTGGATATATAAATCTAAAAAGCAGAGCTGATATAGAAGCAATCAAGCAAAATATATCTAGAATAATCTTAAAATTTTACTACTTGTCCATCATTTACCAAACAATATAGGAGATATTTATTACAAATGAAATAATCTAAGGTTTGAGTGTTGATTAGGACCAAGGGACGCAATCATGTTAGAAAGAGTCGTTAGTGTAGAGTATTTGAAAAGTAAATGATGCAAATAGTAAAATTAGATTAAGGACGCCCAAAATGACCAGTATTATATACATAGAGCTCCAGCATTCAATGTTTGTCCCAATATGGTTTTTCTAGATTTCTTAATTATCCGAACTTTCGCACATAAAAATATCAATGCTGAAAAACAAACTAGGTATCATAAGTAGCTCCCTTTAAATAATAAGGTAAAAAGAAGCAGCTTTAAGTGCTATCTTATTAGTATTGCTAAGCTATTTCTTTACCACATTATTTGCCTTAGTAGATTCATTCCTTTCCTCGCCAAATAAAAAATTGAAAAAAAGCATGGCTACAAACATCATTTACAATATTATTAGGAAAAAGAAGAAAAAGAAATATGCTATCTTGTGGCCGCTACTTATGACTGCTGGATAAATGGGTAGATATTTTAGCAGACTTTAGTTTGATATTATCCCCGTATTAAAATCTTCTTTAACGATTGATAAATCCTAGTAGAGAAAAAATATTTGCTGAAAAAAAGATGCCATAATAAGAAAGGCATATAACACGGGGGTAAATACTTGGTTTTCTAGCAAGTTGTGGTAAAATGAAAATATTGAATCTTAGATTTGTAGTACTACTGGTTTCGTTTAGCTTTTGAACCCATTGCTACTGTTATAATAAGAATTGGAGGATTTTTCATTGCTTTGAGCCCCTCTGTTTTTATACTTTTGCATATTTAAAAATAATGCCTATCCAGATAAGAAATTATTATTGTACTAACTTTAAAAGATAAACTATCATATAATAACTATCTGATTAAAAACTTAATATTTGTTAATGCAATTTAGTTCAATTTATTTTACTTCTAATTAATTTAAAGTTATGGGGTTTTGGGGTTTTGGGGTTTTGGGG